AAAAGTGAGATACTTCTCAAAGTTGGATCTAAGGTCAGACTACTATCATCGCTTGCTTATCTTAGATCTTCTATATAGGAATTATAATAATATACCAATTTTCTCATAGCAAACATACATTAAGAAGTTGCAGTGCATATATTATTTTACAACCTTTTTTTTTTTTTTTTTCTTGTCAACGGAGTTTTTTACAACTCGAGTACAAGCATATTGTTATCTTGTAACATGTAATCATCAAATCCAACAACACAACATGAAAATCTAAGGAACTGTATGCAAATTACTCATGGAAATGTGAAAATAGTAAACTAGGAAAGCGGGACAGTGAGAATGTAGGAGGGCATTACAAGTGTCGTGCTGCTCGGTGGCGAAGTATTTCAACAGAATTCAGTTCTTGATTTCTTGCGAACCGATATACAACCTCTCTGATGATCTCTAAAAATTCTGATCTCAGAACAATCCCTCAAGTCCTCAAGACTAATATATTGTTGCTTAACCATCCTAGAAAAATCACATCCAGTGTCGTGTATCCAAATGTAAGGATGGCATGTTTCATCATAGTAATATAGCAAACTCCTCATACCCCCACCACCACCACCGGGGCCGCCCATAGTCCTCCCCGGGATGTAAGCCTTATAAATGTTCTTCGAATTCAGCCTCTTCGATGAACCTGGCTTCAACGTGTGAACTTTCTTCAATATTGATCCCACCCTTATCTGAAGTTCAATTGGTTTATCACTAAAATTCCAAATCCTCGTCCCATGTCCTGAAACTCGGGTATGATCCTGGCATCCATTGAAACACTTCATAACCGAAACAAAGCTCAGACCACGCATTTCACCTGTAAGAAGTTTTAAATGGGAAACAGTTGCTTATGACTCGTGAGAAGGACAAGAGCCTCTCAAGACTAGATGATGAATCTTTTGTAGTCGGCTTTCACTCTCTCAAGATATGAAATGGCATTCAATGATCAACTCTTTAATGATGCAAAATTTGTATAAAACCACTTCTTCAAGTGTTTCGAAAGATCTCCTATCAATTCTACAATCCATATTTTAGGAGACTATAAACAGTTGATGCATAGTCACGTTGCACAAAGGCTGGAAAGCATAATCCTTAAGACAATGAATTATGGTAGGGACCCAAAACTTCCGCGTTGAATAGTAACTAAGCAATACGTCGACTCGAGTAGAACTCGTCTTAAAACTGGGTTGTAAAAGGGAAGTCCTCAATATGCTTATAAATCCACATGCCCGGTACTCTACGAGTGAAGTGACCAAGCCACACCTCTTTCAGAACTGGTGTCTACAACGGCCAGTTTTTCCTAGTCATCCTCTGTCGTCTTGTCTGCAATCTTTATAAATGGGTGCAAACTCTTATACCAGTTGTTAATACCGTATAGATAAAAGTGATAAAATCTCCCTCAAAACGTACCTGTAAAGAGATGATGTCCAGTGTGCTTATAAAACATACAAAATACACGTTTCCCAAGTAACGTGAAAGTCAATAGCAGTTAACAAATGGAAAAATAGACGAGCAATTTTGTATGTTAGTTTAACAAGGAAAAGAAGTAGTGCCCACCATGCACTCAATTTATGATAGGGTTGCATATGATGTTGCTTCATGTTTAATCATTGTGCTTTTTGCTTTTCTGTATTCTTTTCTTTCAAATATCAATTAAGTATTTTTCCCTTTTGGGCAGAATTTATGCAGCGGACTGCGCTTGTTCATGGTGGTCCAAACCCATCTTCCATTTGGTAGGCATCAATGAGTAGCCACAATAGTTAGTTGTACTGTTCAATGTATTATAATGACCAAGGATGTTAATGATAGGATTGATATACAATGATCTATACATAATGTTGAACAAAAAAATGATAAGTCATAATCTAGTTCTTGATTATGCTGGCCGGTTGATCAAATTGCATGCAGAGGCGGATGGAGAGGGTGGCTGGGCCATAGCTCAATCCTGCCCCATCCTTGGAAGTAAATTGGCTTGTAAAGAATGAAAAAATTAGCCCAAATTGATGGTGAAAAAAAATTGAAAATTTAGTCCAGCCCAAAAATTAATTTTAACTCAATTAACTTCGTTTCCAACTCAAGCCCAATATTCAATTATTCAAATTTAGTTTAAGACATTACAACAAGTGGAAATTACACCCTCACCTACTTTTGAAAATTCAAATTCTAAAATCAGATTTCATGTTTTTATTTTCAAAAGTCAGAGGTTTTATAAATAGATACAGAATTTTTATATTTAATTAAATATTATAAAAATTAATTTATATACACCCAATCCACCCCCAATTAAGAAAATTACCCTAATTAATTCACAACTCTCCTCTCTCTCTCAATTTCTCCCCACGGCCAGCAAATCGCCTCCTCCATTCTCTCTCTTCGCCCGCCTTTTTTCGCCACTGCCGGAGACCACTCCCCCTCTCCAAACCTTAATTAAATCACGCTCTCCTCTTTCTCTCTCTTTCTACATTTCTCCTAACGGCCGCCCATCGCCTCCTCCATTTTCTCTCTTCGCCCTCCGCCTTCGCCACTGCCGGAGACCACTCTCCCTTCTCAATTTTGTTCCTCTCAGATTTTTGGGGGTGGTTTTTAAGCTTTGGTGCACCTCTACTGGCCGTGACCAGCTTTGATGCCGCGACTGTTGCAAAGTCATCATAGCGTCGATCTGAGCGCCGACGGTGGTGGGGGTTGTTAATTTGTATTATTTTGTGTGTACTGATTTGTGTAATTTGGAGATCGATGCTGTGTAAATGATGGCCAAATTACATAGCAATTGTAACTAGGGCAGTTCCGTTAACTGCAGTTACACAGCATCAATTGGTGCTGGAGATCGATGCTGTGTAATTTGGCCACCAATTGCAATTCTTTCTTTTTATGGTGGTGGTGCGATGGTCACGGTTTTGCATTACTGTTAGTGGTGGAAGTGGTGGTTTCCCGTGGTGTTTGGTGGTGTTGCGGTGGTGGTGGGGTGAGGTGGCAGTGGCTTTGGCGGCGGCGGTGGTGCAGGTGGATTTGGTGGTGCGGGCG